CTTTTACTGTCACCAGTGGCGCGAGTAGCGGATCGTTAGTGACTATTTTCCAATAAAAAAATGGTACGTCCCTGGTTTTTCTAAAAATTAATGTTATTTTTGAATTCCTCGTTCAATTTGGTAGAAAAAAACTCTCTTGACTTTTTTTTGTACGATGCACCGTTTAATAAATAATAAATTACTTTAAAACTTTTCAAAGTGTTTTCCTTCAAATGGATTATTATTTGTTAGCTGCATACCAGATACACTTGCTGCAACCACCAGATAAACAAATTTACAACGACTAGTTGGCGTCGGTTTTCATGTCAACGTTTGACAAATCTTAAATAGTAGTAGTGCAGTAGTGTCAAAATGCCGTTTAGATTTTCAAACCAAGAAATAGCGGATATCCATTTTGTGTATGGATTTGCTAATGGAAACTCAAGGGCGGCTGCCAGAGAATACAGAAGGAGATATCCGCAGAGACCACATCCTAGTCGTAATGTGTTCACAAGAATTCACCAGCAATTAATGGAGAATGGTTTAGGAAATTTACATGGAGATCGAAATAATGCCAATCCAAACCAACAGCAAAGAAGAATTTCTCGACTGATATTAAATGAGTTTGACAGAGATCCAACAACAAGTTCCCGTATAGTTTCTCGTATTATCCGCACATCTAAATCCAATGTACTTCGTACTCTCAGAAGGGATCACAGGCGTCCATTTCACCTACAACCTGTTCAAGGCTTACATCCAGGAGATGAAGAGAAAAGACTGACTTTTTGTCGGTGGGTCCTTCGCTCAGTTCAAGAAAACAGGGATTTTTTGAACAACATACTGTGGACTGACGAATCCTGCTTTACCCGTCGCGGTATAGTTAATTTCCATAATCAACATGTGTGGTCACATGAAAATCCTCACGCCATTAGACCACGAAATTTTCAAGTTGAATTCAGCGTAAATGTTTGGATAGGGATTTACATTTACACAACAATCTGTTTGGACCCTATTTTTTACCTCGACTCTTAAACGCAGAAAACTTCTTACAGTTTTTAGAAACGGAACATCACAATATGTGGGATGAAATACTGATAATTTTAAGACAGACTTCATTTTTTCAGCTCGACGGTTGTCCCGCTCATTTTGACAGAAATTTTAGAAATTGGCTAAATAATAACTTTCCGGACAGATGGATTGGCAGAGGGGGTCCAGTTCCATGGCCATCACGGTCTCCAGATATTACCGTGTTAGACTTCTTTTTGTGGGGTTTTTTAAAAGAGAAAGTGTATGCAACCCCCGTGAACACACAAGATGAACTTATTACTCATATAAGAAATGGTTGTAATGCAATAATACCACATCTAATTAATTTAAATAGATGTATTGTACGTAGGTGCGAGTTGTGCATTGAAAATAATGGTTCCCATTTTGAACAATTTTTATGACTGTTTTTGTTGATAATTTTAATTAGTTTAATTTTTGGTATTCATTGTAAAAATAAAGTTGTTAATACATGGTGAAAATCTAAACGGCATTTTCATACTACTGCACAGAAGACAAGTCTATTTAAGATTTGTCAAACGTTGACATGAAAACCGACGCCAACTAGTCATTATAAATTTGTTTATCTGGTGGTTGCAGCAAGTGTATCTGGTATGCAGCTAACAAATAATAATTCATTTGAAGGAAAACACTGAAAAGTTTTAAAGTAATTTATTATTTTTTAAATGGTACATCGTACAAAAAAAAGTCAAGAGTTTTTTTCTACCAAATTGAACGAGGAATTCAAAAATAACATTAATTTTTAGAAAAACCAGGCACGTACCATTTTTTATTGGAAAATAGTCACTAACGATCCGCTACTCGCGCCACTGGTGACAGTAAAAGAAACTTTTGCATTGCAAAATTTAAGTCTTCTATTGCTATTGACACCTGTTAAATTTCATTTAATTATCTTAAGCGGTTTAAAAAAAAAATTTATTTTTCTATTTTTCAGAATAACTTCAACACCCTGTATTTTCGTAACGAAGCAATTTTGGACTATTGTTTGTATAGCAAACTACGGTTATTTTTGGACGTAGAACATACCCTTAAAGTTTGTCACGAAAAAGCTGGTCCACCCTGTAGATTCTATCGATGTGCGTAGCGAGCGGCACAAAGATAAATAATATTGAACCCTATAAAAATCATTTTATATTTTATACGCATTATGGTAATAGTGTCTTTATATTATGTCTGAGTCACTCTCTATAATTTCGACAGCGGAGTATAGTTCAGTTTTATATAGTCTTATAAATGCTATAAAAATTTAAATTTTCTTGTGAAGAAATATTTTTCTTTTCTATTTCACAAATTATAATTAATCACGGTTTTGTTTAACACGAAACAGTAGGTAACTTTAACTAGAAAACGTAAATTGTTATGGCATTTTGGTAGCCTAAATAAAAGTAAATTATTATCACAATAAAATATTTCTAAAATGTTCATAAATTAGCAAAAATAATTACAAAATCTTAGTGAGACTGCCTAGTACCATTAGGGTAATAATATTTTTTTTGTAGTTACAATTCCAGTTAGATTTTGTTTATTGTTCATTTAACGTATTTATAGATGAATATAAAATTTAGAAAAAATTATAAATTATAGGTAGTATTAAAAAAATCATCATTTCGAGAGAGACTTCGAAATTTGTCAAAAAGATGCTGGCTCAATCATAAGGACGAACCTCATGAAATGAGGATAATCATCCTTAACGGAGGTCACCTTACTATAAAACATTCTGTATTTGCCAGATTAGTTAAAAGAACCATAACATATTGTACATCACTGGAAAGTGGAAAAAAAATATGTTTTTTTTCACAGCCAATTACGGTTTGGTTTATAGCTTCAAAACCACGAGAAGAGTTCCACTAAAAAAGTAATACCAGTCGATTCTACAACGAAAAGTATAAATACGTCGATTTTATATTAATTCTAAAACCGATCTAGTAACTGAGATATCGAGGTGGTCAAAATTGTTGTAAAAATGATTATCGTAATTCGAATACAAGCAAAGATTGCATTAAAATCGAATTCGAGAAAGTATAATTTTTTTCTCTAATGTTATTTTAATCCTTAGTTACAGTTAGTAACATATTTTTATACATGGCCTTCATAAATGATTACAAGCCACATGACCAGTAATTTTGTTTGGAACAGTAATTTTATTTCCTTCACGTTGGCAATTAATTGTTTCGATAAATTAAAACAATAAGATTAAGATTACATTTTAATACAACATTCTGTTTCACTGGCTGGTGATTGGTGATTGGTGTCATTTTTCAGAAGATTCAACCAATCAGCGAATGCATTATCTCGAGCGTAAATGTAAACGAATAATTAATATTGGTGACGCTAAGATTTAGCAATTTTTAATGGACAGTGCCATCTACGCATCTAGTGTTTAACTAAGCAAACTAAGAACGGATCATTCTGTATCTTTATTTCAGAATATTATTTATCCTATACTTTTTCCTACTTCAAACATTTCTCAATTCAGTTTTATATTAAATTTCAATCAGATTTTGCAGAAAAACTTAATAAAACATATTTTTTTAAACTAAAAAGGAAAAATACACTGAAAAAAGTTAAATTATAAAAAGTATCAACGTTTATTGATGCCATGATTATAGTAGTGTTGTGAAATACTCATATTTTTGCATAATTTAACAGAAGGCGAAATGGCCGAGTCTTATCCTAAAAACTAAACCAAGTTACATACAAAACAACAATAAACTGGTCAAAAATTAAGTCTAATGCAGTCTGTTTCTTCACCAGTTTACGCAATGACTAGAACAGTAAACATTACAATAGAAAAAATAAATTATGAATAAGTTAGATTCTGACCCGACTTATTTGTGCTGCGAAGCGAAATCGGCCCGCCGATTTTTAGAAAAGTGTTTCACGGTCAGCCGCCAGAAAGCTATTCGGAAGTCCGGGCTGTAAAACGCGTAGATGAAGGGGTTGATGGCAGAATTGATCCACCCCAGCCACGTGAAGTACTGCATGATCAGCACGTTGACCTCGTTATTCTTGATGAACGGCGTGAGAAGGTAGAATATGAAAAACGGAAGCCAGCAGGCTATGAAGCCTCCCATCACTATGCTGAGGGTCTGCGCGGTTTTCGTCTCCCTCCTGAAGGAAGACACTCTGGAAGCGGGCTCGAAGTTCAGCATGGACGCGTCCAAGTTGAGCGACTCGGGCCTTGTTCTCAGCGGGAGAGACGCCCTGTATAAGCTGGCCGTTCTGGATGGGGTGAGGGGTTCGTGGGTGTGGTTGTGGTTGAAGGAGTAGTTCATGTTGGAGCGGAGGGACCGCGACTGGGTCACGGCTGGTTTTTTCGGCTGGTCGTTGTGGTTGTTGTGGTTCAGCGCTTCAGGAGAGTGGTTGCTGAAAAGAAAATGGTCGATCTGATTATAACTACTCAAGATGCGGGTGTTTTATGAAAATGCTGTATTTTTGCAATACATAAACTGGAAATGATTATAATTTAAGGACGGAAAGAAAAAAATAATTCGATAATGTAAAAGTGCATCAATATTATTTTGAAAACTGCTTCCAAATCTATTTATTATTTACTTATGTAGTGCAGTGTCGTAGCTAGAGAAAGGCCGCGGGGGCCGCTGCCAGTGGCGCAAAGCTCAAGGGGGCGTACTCGCTTTTAAAATTATTGTATTGTTTCTCTTCCTAAAATTAGCTCAGTATATCACTGTTTTTAGGTCCGAATTCTTGACACATGCACCGATTGACGTGAAATTTTAACAGGAAGTAGAAAATTTGAATTTACAATGAAGGCACCCATTTTAATCACAAAAAGCAATAGAAGGATGAATTCTAAGCAAAAATGCTCTATAACGTTTTTTCCAAAAATGAATATTTTCCGAGTTATTTGCGATTGAAAATGTTTATATACAGCATATACAGCAAAAATAAAGCTTTTGAAATAACGAATCGATTCATTTTTGTTGATTACCGTAGATGTAATAATAACCGAGTTATCACTCTCTAAAGATGATTGTTTATTTTTCGGAAATTTAAATCGATTATTTTACCGTAAAATAATGACGAAATAACTAATTTTTCGAAGAAAATGAATATAACCTTTTTTAAAATGCTTGGAAAGACCTTTAAAATGCTTTTTGAAAAAAATTGGTAGCTCAAAAACTCGCGGAGTTATGATGAAAATAAAATGGTCATCTCATATTTTCGGAGAAAAAATCAACAATAAAATCTATGGCTGAACCATAAAAATAGAAACTAAACGTAATCCATGTACAGTGGACTTTATTTAAGTACTAATAATAGGCTCTGCAAGTTTGAAATAACTGAAAAACCAAAACAAGATATGTGAAAAATGCAAGAGTTCAAAATGAAAGGTCTTTTTCTATAATATTTTTGCTCTCTTTCAATTTTTCTGTAGAGCAAAAATTAACCGAGATATTACGTTTTTTAGTTTGCATTTGCCTGTAAGGACCACCTTCTTTGAACCCTTAGAACCTAAAAATCTCGAAAAAGAAGAGTTCAAGACCCTTCACCTATAAAGGTTGATTTGTAGTTCTTGCAATTCCCTGCAAATTGCTTTTTGGAGCGATGAAGTATATTAAATATTAAAAAAGTTATCGTGAAAAAACGAATTGTATTATTCAGTGAAAATTGTCGGATCGTGTGTACACGATCCGAAAATTCTCTCCAGCCAATCAAAATATTCAACCAGCCTGCACCCGAAGAACTTTTAAAAATGATATTTTGCAATTGCAAAAAAGGATGCGTGCGACTTGCAGTTGCCGCAAAGTTGGACTCTATTGTAATGCGACATGCGGAAGATGTTCTGGGGACAATTGCCAAAATTGTCCTCCAATAACGGACCAAACAGAGGAAGTCGACAGTGCTCTTTAAATGATATGTAAATTTTTGATAATAAAGTATAATTGTATAATACACAAATAATTTTATTTTTCCTTTCACTAATTACATAATTTAAGTTTCGAGTTTTAAGTAATCTCGTTGAATTTAGTAATGTATCGTTGAGTGTTTTGAAGCAGGTAAAAGTTCTTCAATTCTTCATTAAGGCTTATTTTTATGGGTTGAAATGTTGCAATGAATCATCAGTACCTAATATTATAAACAGTGATGAGTCTTTCATTCATCGTCTTCATTCATTCGTCTTCATAAATGCTATGAAGATGTGAAAAAAATTGTTTGCTTTATTTTCTGCAATAAGGGTGGTTTTTAAAGGTTGACACGTTGCAATAAATCATGTATTATTTCATAAACAGTAAAAAATATTCAATTCTTTATTATTGCTCCGTCAAAACATTTCAGACGAGAAAACTAATTTTTGTTTTTTTCCTCATAAAGCGTGGATTTTAAGGATTGAAATGTTGCTACAAATCAAAAATTATTATTCAAAACACAAGAGAATGCTTATTCTATTGACATAACACTTAAATCTATGGTTTTGACGTTTTTTGCAAGAAGGGGTAGTTTTCACCCCCTAAAAACAATAAGCACACATATGGAAGTTTGCGCAAATTGTTTGATAGTGTATAGGGCCTATTAATTTATAAAAATTTGACTTAACCCAATTTTAAGAATTGACCATCCAAAGATAGACGCTTGCGCATGCGTATTTGTCATGGTATTAATCTTAGTCCTAAGAAAGCAGTTAAACTAAGTCCCACGACCTCCTTAGGCCCAAGATTAGGTTAGGATTTTTATAAGCGTGCAAATTGAAATCGATAGCTTTCATTTCTTAGGGTAGAGGTTAAGGCTAAGTTAGGACTAAAACCTTATTATAAACTCAGCATCAGTTGTTGAAGTTCGGGACAACAATGTGTAAAAAGCGAGAAAACTGATAGGTTCTTACTTAATAATTTAACCTTGTAACTTTAAAATAATCGAGATAAGAATATTGTGGACTTGATTAGAAATTGGTATACTTATATGTATTTTTTATAGATATAGAGCCTTAGACACGTAGTGTGGTGTAAAAATACTAAAAAATATGAATTATTATTAAACACCAGCCATACTATGTGTCTTGAGGTAGTTAAGTAGCTTAATAAAATCGTTATTTACCATGCATTTATATGTCGAAAGTACCTGGAACATCTCAGGTTGGGCTCGTCGCATTCTGAGGACACTCTGTCCATGTCGGATTCTTCTTTGGGATTTAAGATTAGTTTTGTACTTTTCTGAAATGAAACGGTCATTCAATCAAAAGACTACGTCTCAAATACAATATATATTTCACAGATGTTATGACGTCACTACATGGACGCCATAATGTTGGAATGCAAAATAGAACAGCAATGTTACTTTTATGGTTTGAGTTTAATTTGAAATAAGACATATTTAATATACAGAGTGGCCAAATGAAAAGGAACCAGAGCTATTTTCAGGAACTGCGTCAAGGTTATAGAAAAACGCTCAGACCCGTCGATTTTAGATTAAGGGGGGCATTCTTTGCTGATATTTTTGACTCCGCCACTATCACCCCCAAGCAAGGGTAATCATCACCCCAAAATATTTAAATGGCATTGGGGATTGAACAATATTTCGTTTGAAAGCTTTTATAATTCTCTTTCTTTAAAATTTTATAATTCCGCCCAATACATATTAAGAATTTTGAAACTTATGTACAAACAATTAGTAACGGTAAAAATGTCAGTCATTCGAGTTAAGTACGCCAATGGTATAAATTTAGTGTTTCTTGCGTTACATTGATTTTTGGCGATTTGTTATCACTTTCGTAAAAAAAACACAATTGTAAAAAACAAATGAATGCTATACACACACAATAAACGTAAAATTAGTAGATTCCAAATTATTTTCTAGTATTATTTGGAAGCGTTGGTTGGTAGTTTATTTAATTGTGATTTTGAAAATTAAACACTATGGTTTATTCCATTGCGGAAAGGGTAGATATCGTTTCGCTTTACTTTATGAACAATAAATGTGCGAATAGAACAGCTCAGCTATTTAATGAACAACATCGAGATCGACATGTCAGGAGGAAGTATGTTCTAGAGTTAGTAAAAAAATTTCAAGACAGGGAACATAGCCAATAAAAAACGAGAAATTGAAAAACCTATAGATTGATCCCAGGCAGCTGGCATCTGTGTCTGGGATCAATCGAACTAGCATTCAAACCATTTTGAAGAAGAATAAATTCCATCCATAGAAAATACATTTAGTCCAGGAATTTCATGCCGTTTGCAATTTTGCGAAATAATGAGTGAGCGAGCAGGGACCGATCCACAGTTCGTTTTTAACATCTGTTTTTCTGATGAATGCAGTTTTTTCTTGAACGGGACGGTAAATCGTCACAATCGCCGCTATTGGTCCGATTCAAACCCAAGAGTTTTCCACGAGGTGCATACACAACAACCGGAAAAATTAAATGTATGTTATTTATTATTTTATAATCTTTATTCATAGAACCCATACAGGACATGATGCGTCAATACAACTAGTGTAAAGGAAACTACAGAAATACAGAGTTACAATATTTGACAAAATTGTTACATCTAAATTATCTTAATCTAAATATAAAATTACACAAATGGATATATCACACATACGTTAAAATAATTTTGTTAGGCATATCTATGTGAAACACAGGAATAAAATTCTTGTACGGAGTAAAAAGTATGAGCACACAAAAACTTACGCAGCTCGTATTTGAATTTCGATAAAATACAAATATTTCTAATATTTACAGGTAGAGAGTTATAAATATTGGCACACAAAAAAAGCGGACCCCTCCTGAAGGTACTTAAATTATAGTTTTGAATGATGATATGACTTGCATTTCTTGTACCGTAAACATGCAAACTATTTCGCAGAGGAAACTTGTCGGGGTTTAGCTTCACAAAAATAGCGGACTCGCAAACAAGTATTGAATAAAGAGTGAGTATCTTTTTATCTTTAAATATTGCTTTGCAAGAATCTAACGGGTTTAAGGAGAAAATCAATCTGATAATTCTCTTCTGTAGGATAAATATTCGATGTGCATGCGTAGAGCACCCCCAGTATATAATTAAATATTTAATGTGCGAGAATGCTAAAGCATAATAAACATTTAGCAGATATTGACTGCTCACAATGTATTTCAGGTTCCTTATTGCAAAATAAGCTGACTTCAGTTTACTGGCAATGGAGTCCACATGTACCGACCATGAGAGATTCTCATCTACATGCAAGCCCAAAAATTTGGTATTAGTGACATTCTCCAGCACTATGTTGTTCAGAGTTAAATTAATTTTTTGCTTGCATTTTCGTAAATGAAAAACTATATATTTAGTTTTAGTTGCATTAATTATAAGCCTGTTTCGTTCGCACCAGGTGTAAAATTGTTGGAGAACTATATTTGCCTGAATTTGTAAATCACTAAAATGATTGCCTACTAAACTAATGGTGGTATCATCGGCAAACATCACCAGTGTTATGTTATCGGTCATATGTTGTTTCAGATCATTCACGAAAAGCAAAAACAGCAGTGGAGCAATCACACTTCCCTGCGGAACTCCAATACTCAATTTATGTTGCTGTGACTGCGTACCAGTCAGCTTAACGCTGATTGACCTGTCAGATAGGAATGAACTAATCCATTTATCTAGCGGCTGCTTAATCCCTAAACTATTTAATTTTTGTCTTAAAAAACCTTCCCCAACGCAATCAAAAGCCCTTGTTAGATCAAAAAAGAGCGAAACCACAATTTTACCCTCATCAAGTTGTTTGTAAACATCAGAAAGGAGTGAATATACTGCAGTATTAGTTGAATGGTTTGGACGAAAACCATGCTGGCTAACTGATAATAAATTACAACTGTTTACAAATTTCAAAATTCTGCCATTAATAATTTTTTCAAATATTTTATGGGCTGGACTTTCCGGTGATCGACTGGTGGGTCCTTTTTTTCTACCTGGTAATTTGATTTGCCAAATGTATTTGCAATTACTGGAAGACGCTATTGACCCTGCCTTGACTGATATTATTGAAAATGTTCCAGAGTACGATGAAGATCATTTGATTTTTCAGCAAGACGGTGCTCCTCCGCATTATGCGTTAATTGTCCGTCAGTATTTGGAACAACGTTTTCTAGAGAAGAGGCAACATTGAGTGGCCTCCACGATCACCGGATTTATCGTCCCTTGATTTATTTTTATGGGAATACCTAAAAAGTAAAATCTATAAAACACAGCCAGCGTCGCTGGAAGATTTGCGTCAAAGAATCGTCGACGAATGCCATCGAATCACTCCGGAAATGCTTCGGAATGTGCGCGAACGTTTCGAACAAAATATTATTCTTGTATAGAAGAGGACGGTCATCAGTTTGAACATTTAATCAACTAGGTAAGTAGTAAGTAAGCAACTAAACATAATTTAAATTTTTTTCAAAGTATTGGGCGGAATTATAAAATTTAAAGTGTGTTGTAAAGAGAATTGTAAGAGTTTTCAAAAGAAATATTACTCAACTCCCAATGCCATTTAAATATTTTGGAGTGATGCTTGGGGATGAAAGTGGCGGAGTCAAAAATACCAGCAAAGAATGTCCCCCTTTAATCTACCTGTAAAATCGACGGGTCTGAGTGTTTTTCGACAATCTTGACGCAGTTCCTGAAAATGGCTCTGTTTCGTTTTCATTTGGCCACCCTGTATATGCAACCGTTAAAGGGTAAAGAGTTTTAATATTCATATGCATGAAGCGTATGTCACAATAAACAGTTGATGACGTTGACTTGCTTTTGTTTCATCACGTGTTAGCCAGGATCCACATGCATGCGTGATAACTGATCCGTTGTAACCACGTGACTATCACATCCAATTGAAGTCAAAACGGATTGGATTTTGAAATTTATCGAGGGTACCAACCAATAAAAGCAAAACCAAAGCGATCAGATACTTACTCGAGGGTGCGCTGTGTCAATGTGCGCTAGCTGGTCATGTCTCTGCGCCACAACGCAAGATATCTTGACGTACACGTAGAGCATCACTGCCATGGGTATGAAAAAGGATCCCATAGCGGAGAAGATGACGTAGCCCGTGTTCCTGTTGTACCTGCAGGTATCGCCCGTGTGACGTCCATGCTCGTACCTAAAAAAAAATGACAATCAATGCAATGGTGCAAGTTACTTAAAAAACGAAGTTGACAATTTTTTAAAGTTTCAACAATATTCATTTTAATTTGATGAATTCCAAGGAACTAGGTATATCCAATTTTTATCTGCGGGAGAACACAGGTAATAAAAAATTTACTACGTGACATATACCCCTGTTCCTCTGGAATTCGCCCGCAGTTAAATTTCTGAACGCCGCGCCGGCAGCTCGTAGCAAACGTAGTAGTAATAAGCCTTTGAGAAACTTTACAAGATTCGCTTCAAATTTCAGTATATAAGTAATAAAGCTAGTTTTAACTTTGTAAAGTTTCTCAAGAACTTCGGAAGAAGAATCAACTCGATTTTATATTTATTTAACTCCACCCTAATTTAATATCTACTAAACTTGGCAGGTATACATTAATTTGATATTGAGGTAAATAAACCTACCAAGAACAGCGTAATTTTATGTTCAAATAACACAATAATTTAATACCTAATGAGATTGGTAGATACATATTTAAATTTCAGTTCGCAGTAGTTTGTATCGTTATTGTTACCTCTGGCACATATTTATTAGAGGAACGGGTGGTAGTATATAATTCCACTTGTTTTTTTTTGTCAAAGTGATACCTACCCACTGTGTTTTTCGACTTTAATGGAATTGTGCATTTTGAATTCTTGCCTCAAGGCGAAACAGTGAGCGGCGTTTTACAACGCTTACGTGAAAATTTACGAAGTTTTATTTTCTATACTTATGTTATGTTTGTTCCTTTTTCCAACATTAATTAATGTAATCATTGTTTTAATAAAATTTATAAGTGGAATTATCTGTGGCATATACTTTTTAGTGTCAGTTTTTGAAACTAGAACATCCTGAAACATATACAGGCCATTCATTCCGAAGAACATAGGCAACGTTACTGGCTAATACAGGAGTTGATGTATTAGCAATCAAGAGACATTGTGGGTGGAAATCAGTCACAATTGCAGAAAGTTATGTTGCTGACAGTTTAAGTAACAAAAATGGAATAGCTAACAGGATTCTTTACAATGACACTTCAACTCCAGGTTTTTGTAGTACGTCATCATGCTGTTTTAATGGATCAGACAGATAATATTGAGCTTCCGGTGACTGAAATCAATGGATTTAATGGATCAGTCAGATAATATTGATTTTCCGGTGACTGAAATGGAGCGGTCAAATCATTTTGAGAAAAATGTGACAATTAGTAAACGCGAGGGGAATAATTATCCAGATTTTATAAATGTTACCAAATGTAATAACTGTACAATTACTATAAATATTCATTCATAATAATTAATAAAATAAACTAGAAATCGCTTTTTTCCCTAGGGAGGTAAGTTACCTCAATTACCTCCCGTTGTCCACAGCAACTTCCATTTCTACGTCAAAATTAACTTACCTCCTTAAAAACAATGTACCTATTAATACTCTATTTACTATACTGGGAGTAGATAAGTTTTTTAAAATTTGTAACAATAATGTGACAGCAAAAGCTACTAGGTATATAAAATATTCGTAGAAAATCAAAAGTTATTACACAATTCTGTGCATCTTTAGCAAAAAAGGAAATTAATATATTTCCCAAGTCTACAGAATTGTAGTGTATAAGAATACAAGTTTTTAAATAATTCTTTCCATTGGGTAACTTTCGAAAATATTTTTTACCAGGTCCCAATAATGGCTTTTGGGAACTAAAAATAGACCCTAAAATAATTATGGAATCACCTTACCGTGTTATTCGCATTTATCACAACTAATGATCGTAAAAATCGTATTAGTTAGTAAATAAAAGTATAATCATGAGCGTAAATTCCAATTTGATATCAGGAACTGCTTTTTTATGGTCAATAAATTTATCTTTATGTCTTTATCGAGCCACCTTTGGTTTCAGTCTAAACTTGACATACCACAGAACCATTACGTAAGAGTTTTTTTTAATAACTTTAACTTGTTTCGTATTTTTTAACAGCGGAGACTAGTAAGACCTGGCGCATTCGCCATTATATACAATTTTGCACATTTCCTATAAAAGTTGACATTATATTACCACCCGATTTGTCATTTCAACCTGAGCCTAGTCGAACTCGTTGATTAAATGGATTTCGATGGAATTGGACTACGACCTTTGGTCCATCAGGTGAAATTGATAGAGGGCAGGGGCGACAGCGGCTTCAAAACTGCCAGTTCATCAGTTTACAATTGACGTTGGGGTTGACGCTAATATCGACGTTAAATACGCATTCGACCCCTACCCTTATGACTTCGAGGGGTTGATTAATGGTGGCAGTTTTATAATGTGCAGCAAATAATAGAGGGTGCACAGAAAAAAATGCTTTGTAAAAAATTAGGTAGGTATTAGGTACATTACAATGGTCCTCCATTTCGTGTATTTTCGTATGATTCCACAAAAAATATCACTTTCATTGCAGTAAAAAAGTATAAAGTGGTACTCAATTGTAAAAACATTGACTACTATCGAAATAAATGAAATAGACCCCTGAGTTTGGAAACCAATATTAAGAAAACGTTGAAATTTGGACCATATATACCCTCACTATTATTCTATTGTGTGTTAAAATTTCAGTTAGTTTCGTTATCCCATTTTTTAGTTATTAATGAAAATGTTGAAAAAATCACGGTTTTCTGCCTAAAAAATTGATACCTGTCACTTTAACTCGTCGTAATTTTTTTGTTAATTGATAAAAAAGTTCCAAGTTTTTACTGACGATAGGTCGAACTATTGTCTTTAGTACTGTGGAGGTAATTTGTCTCAAAAGCTCTTCTTTTTTTATTTTTAAGCAAAACAGAAGGGAGTGCTATCTCCGTAAATATTGCGTTCTTTAAAGAAATAAAAAACTGAGTCAAGTAATAAATAATTGTAAATAACAATCTGAAAAAAATTGTTAAACTAATATAGTTATAAAGGCCAAACGTAATTGACCATTCCGATACTGTTTTTAAGAATATTATATTTATAACTGTATTATTTTAACACATTTTTTCAGATTGTTATTTACAGTTATTTACTACCTATGTTTGTTTTTTTTTTAAGGAATGCAATATTTACTGAGATAGCACTCCCTTCTGTTTTGCTTAAAAAGAAAAAAAAGAAGAGCTTTTGAGACAAATGACCTTCACAGTACTAAAGACAATAGTTCGAATTACCGTCATTAAAAATTTGGAATTTTTTTATCAATTAAGAAAAAAATTAGGACGAGTTAAAGTGAGAGGTATCAATTTTGTAAGGCAGAAAACCCTGATTTTTTCAACATCAATAATAACTAAAAAATGGGTTGACGAATCTAACTGAAATTTTAACACACAATAGAGTTTGTGTTGTGTTATAAACACGAATATTTGCCTGTTTTTTTGCTATAAATATACAGGGCGTTCTGAGCGCTCTTACCACTACATTGTTTCCTTCAGATTTTTTTTAAAGGATCGATACTTTTGGAAAATGATTAGTTATTTTAAAACAGCATTCGATTTGCTTTAAGAAAGGTATCCTTGTTTTAGAGGAAATAATGTTCAAAATAAACATAAACATAAAACACACCACAGAAATGAGACAACCCCCAAATCCAAAGCAAAAAAAAACGCAGACAAACACTCTTTATCCATCGACATTGCCAGTGCCGACGCCAGGGATCGAACCTTGACCAGAATAGGAAGTCTGGCCGAGAAATGTTTGCCACCGCATGCTTGATCGACTACGTTATGGTGGTGATATGCCTAATATCATTCGCTGCTGTCACTATTCTTTGCCACAATTCATTTCTGGTATTAACAGTAAGCCCACTTTTAATATATCCCCATAAATAGAAATCCAGTTAATCGATGTTAATATCATTTTTTATTTATTAGCTACCTTACCATAATCTGTTTAGCTTTATTAGGGAATTACTTCACTTTCACTCTCCACGTGTCGTCTTACGCCCTAGTCTTTGTATCATGGATAGCCTCAGTGTAGTCATTACATATTTTTTATTTCCTCACACAATCAGCGTTAAAAGCAAATGTTTTCCCAAATTTGTCTTCATAAAATTGTGAAAGATAGCTTCGATTGTTCATCCATACTAACTAAACTCAGTTTATCAATCTCGGAGGAAAGAAATTTCTACGAATACGAATGGCAAATTTTATTTCACAAACAAGCAAAAGTAAAAACCATAAGGTCGTTTTCCAACATCAACTTTTTTGTCACCTACAAGAATCATTTCACTCATCCGATAACACGCTGTATATTCGCTGTAACCGATATTAAAATAACTAATTGCCTCATAAAAAAAGGAGTTTAGTTATGCTATCACAACAATATTATTATGAGGAAGAATAATTACTATATTGATGATAGTAAAGAGCCGGTTACTTTATTATTATCGGGACAAATTCCACTAAATTAATTTCATATTGGATATTGCAATTAATATATTTTTTTATGGGCTGTAGTTGTGTATACATATTAAGTACTAAATATGCTTAGTTATAATTATATAAATGTATATTTAGCTCAATTGTTATAGAAATATTTTATTATCTGTCAATTTCGAAAAAAATATTTGCATCAGAAGATGCTGGATTTTTGTAATCCTTCACATATCTCACACCAAAATGTTACACTGGAATTATTGAATTTAAAACAACTGAAAATACTTGGTACCGTCTTTCAAGTCTATGCTTTTAAAAATATTTCTGTTCTCAATACTAAATTAATAATTCTAAATTGTTGATCGTCAAAGGTAACAGTTTCATAGTTTATTTATTGCCATGGCATGTATGATAACATTTATATTATTATCTACGACTTCATCTTTGTAAACTTCAAACGGTGAATCAACGAATTCTTGTTCGTTTTACTTGTATATATTTTATATTTTCCCATATTTTCAGATTATCAGAATAATCTGAAAATATGGGGAAAATCTCTTCCTGTATTTTTGCTATCCATTTTTTGAAAAAAATATATAACTACATCACTTTTATAAATCTATTAAAGTATTTCGTTAATATAGTATACCATGTACAAAATGAACTATTTATCAAAAAACTTAAAAACAAAAGCTCTTCTGGCTTTGACCATATACCACTTTTCATGATAAAAGGAGTATTAGATTTACTAATCTAATCTTTACTATTTTTAATACAATTAACCCCACAAAAAAAAATCCAGTGGGTTGAGGTCCGGTGTTTTCAGTTTGTTTTTTAAGTTTTACTAGAAAATTAAGTTTTTTTTTGAAAAACATAAAAGTGTAGTAATTTGTAGAAAATTGAAAGATGAATCCGAAAATATCATGATAGTTATCGTAAAGCAGTGGCGTACTATTATTTAGAAAAATATGCCACCGATACCCTGTACCTCTGTCACTGGATCATCTAAATTTTAGAAAAAGGCCTCATATTTTGATTGTCAGTGTTGCGAGAAACAACTACTCCGAGGGCAGTTTAACCCACCAGGCACAGGCCGGTTTCGGACCTAGCTGTTGCACTAGGTGTTGCGTACAAAGCCTCATATTTTGGACAATGTTTACATAAATATATGTGCTCAATTACATATTATTGCACTTACTAGTTTTTAAATTATTTTAAAAAATTAAAAAAAAAATTTCAAGTCCAATACCCTGTCCGAAGTGTCCCAGATAAAAATTTTATACGAAAGACTCCCCATAGAATTCACCAAAGAACAGAGGTTTCATTTTTGGTCACAGTTAACACCCTATATTTGTGACATTTATATGAGAGTATGTTTTATATTTTTTATTGACAATATGTATATTTTTTAAAATAATAATATATGTTATCATTATTATTATTATTTTGCTTACCATCCAAACATGGGAGGGCAAGTGATCAATGCCGAACTCATCCACACTACCAGGATCATGGTGAAGGCTAGCCTCTTGGACCTTCTATTTCTTGAGTACCTCAACGGTTGGGTCACAGCTAAATATCTATCTACACTTATGGCACATAAACTCAGTATGGACGCAGTACATAGGAGAATGTCCAGGGACACCCATATGTCGCATAATATCTTTCCCAACCTCCAAGCACCTGGAACAGAATGAATATTCAATTTTTTTCAACATTAACCATTCAGCTAGTAGAAATTTTGATCTAATGACAGAATTAATCGAACACAGAGGAATTTTGAGGACCCAATTATTATTATTACTTATTGAATAAGTTGTCAGATTATAGTGGCTATAGTGGCTAACACGATTAATGTGATATGGAAATAGTTGGTTTTCATATAGAATTTTCTAAAGTTTACCGGGATGCATTAACTTCACTAGAAATTTGTTTGGTGTTAGTATTTGTACCATACGATTTGGTTGAGATCTTCAATAGTATGACTTACATGATTTTCTTTAAGCTTTTTGTTATGGAATCGCAGAAGGACATAAACAAATCTTCAGAATCTGGAATGTATCCTATTTGGATAACGCTCCACATATACCTGAGATGCCTGTACAGAGTTTTGAATACCAACTCATTCAAAACTCAAACAACTTAGAATAAAAGCGATTATTTAAATGTTAAAGGGAAAATGGAAATGACTGTACTGTGGTACTAGCATTTGATTAATAATAACCCAATACCAAGAGACTAGAAACTTTAATAATTCATTAAAACATCAAAATCAGCATAGGTGGTACTTCGTAGGAGCTATTTTAAAATATGTACTATACATTATTTTTAAAAAAGTCTATACATTTTTAGATTTATTAAAAACTATTTTACCTTTCTAAGGTAATTTTTGTATTAAAGCTTTACAGTCGCTCTGATTTCTTTCATTCTGTACATCGTTACTAATTAAATGTAAACAATATGAATATCACTAGATGAAGAATTAGAATTTAGCCGTCAAATTTTTCATTAGACAATCCCGATCACGTTCTTTAAGTTACATTTTGGATCCAAGACAAATCTGAACTACTTGAATACATATCCAATTTACTTACCTATGAGGGTATAGGCCACAGCTGGAGGCATGACGCTGATGCCCACCAACCAATCAGCTACCGCCAGCGACATGACGAAGCAGTTGGTGACGGTCCTCAACCTCCTGGTGGTGAGCACGGCCAGTATCACCAGGGTGTTGCCTATGATCACGATGACGATGACGACGCTTAACAAAACCGCCAAGGCGACGTGCTGGATGTGCTTGCTGTCCTCTGTGGTGGAGTGGTTGATCGAGACTGAGGTGCTTGTGATTGTGTCGTTTGACATTCCGTGTCATTTCTGGAAATAAAGCAGTGATTTAATGAATGCGAAATCAGTATGGATGGATATGTGTTTTCTCTTCTGTATGCAGATTGTACAGGGTGGTTGATTTTCGATAGTTTTATAGGGTACAGCCAAAACGGTGATAGATACAAAAAATCTGATATCGATGTCCCGTCCTCTTTTTTTGAGTTTAATTCGCTGGTACCAAAAGATCTTGGCTAACTTGATTAGTTTTAGATATACAGGTTTTTTTTTTTGAAAAATGGCCCATTTACGTTAACCTCTCTATCTCCGTTGTCATTCAATTTAGAAGAAAAAAGTGTGTACACTATTTGTTCTATTTTTTATTAGGAAGCCAGTGGCGTACTCAGATTTTTTACAAATCGCACAGTTTTTCTGATATTACATAAACATAGGTTTTTTTAAATAGAACACCCTGTATTTGGCCATCCCGTTGAATAGCATTTTTTTTACCTTTTCAGCCATATATAATAATAGATACTTTTTATTTGCCTAAATGAAGATAAATGTAAAAAATATATAGAAATGTATAGAAAAATAGAACAAATAATGTGCACACTTTTTTCTTCTAAATTGAATGACAACGAAGATAGAGAGGTTAATGTAAATGGGCCATTTTTCAAAAAAAGCCAGTATATCTAAAACTAATCAAGTTAGCCAAGACCTTTTGTACCAGCGAAGTAAACTCAAAAAAAGAGGACGGGACATCGATATCAGATTTTCTGTATCTATCACCGTTTTGGCTGTAACCTATAAAACTATCGAAAATCAACCACCCTGTACAATGTCATCCATGTAACATTCTACACCCGCTAGAATTTTTACCTTTTCGTCTAGGACAAAATGCGACATTAGAGAAGTTCCTAAAAAACAAATGAATGTTGCGTTTTTGAAATATAAACCAATTTTTTTATGGTACACCCTGTATATTTGTAATTTTTGTGAAATCCACACATTTTTCTGATTAAAACAATATACACATGTCATACATTTGCTTTGACAATTTGCACAATACTTTGGTTTATTTACTGATCATTTACAATCAATAAAGTCGATTGCTATGGAACCAGTGTGTGTGTATGCTTTTCCGCTGTTAAATTTACTAAATAATCTTTAAAATTTTTGGGAAAAACTATTATAAATGCTGTTCCATCATTCTGTTCTAGACAAAGCTCATACTTCATTGATGGTATTAACTGTTTTCAACATTTCCTTGGGTGATATAAGTTAGTAGGTTATTCTTTGCTTATTTTATCTTCCAGAGTCTGCAATATCTGCGGCAGCAAGAACTTCATTGGGAGAAAGAGAAAAGAATGTCATTTGTTTGAAAGTATATGTTACATAAAATATAAAAGCCAAAACAATGGTAATATAATGTGACAGTTCTAATGAGGTAACGATAGTTGTACCTGACTAATACAATAATTAACTGATAAAGATTTTAAGACTTTCATAAAACTGTAAATAGACTTGCGGGACCTGACATCGTTAGGCAAAGTATTATAATTTTTTATAGAATTGTAAGAAAATGACCGGTGAAACAGAGCAGTCTTATGCTTTGGAACACAAAAATTACAACGGTTACGTATGGGCAAATGATGCACATCAAAATTCATAATGAGCTTTGAGGTTAAATATTCAGGTTTATGATATAACAATAACTTAAAAGTCAAACAGGACAACTGAATCCGAAATCTAGCACTGAGATTAAACCAGTTCGAATTTTTAAAACTAGGAGAAATATGATCAAAGCAGGCCAATACAGGGCCATCAGCGAATCAAAAATTTTTAATTTAATTTCAGTACTAACATCATTATACATGTAAAGGATTTTCAGCTTGCCAAAAAATTTTTAAGATAGTTGACATGCTTAGCAAATCTAAGAGAATTGTCTAACCATAACCCAAGATTTTTGCAGTTATCAGTTGGAACAATATAATGTCCATTCAATGACATTCCTTTTATTTCCAAAAATTAATCATTGAGTTTTAGATTCATTTAAAGTAAGATTATGAGCCACAGATACCTCGGTTTAGATCAACGTTGATCGGGGCCATATCTGAAGAGATGTAAGAAGGACTAATAGAAAAATATAATTGAATGTCATCAGCATACTGATAAGGCTAACAATAACGGAGATAACTACAAAAATCAGTAGTATAAATGGAAAGGAGGAGAGGCTCTAGAACACTACCTTGAGGAACTTAGAACTAAGCATGTGAAAATGGTGTATTATTTTTAAAGTATTAATAAAACAAAATTCAGTAATTTGTAAGCACTGAACCTGCGCTCTCTGTTGCAAATATTTTTTTTCTTTCCGCAGGAAAACAACATACAAAGTAAATAAGTCTAGTTCAATTCAAACTAACTAGTTATTAAAGTTATGTAGGTTTGTTTTCAGTTCAGTAAGTTCGCTGATAACTGATGAAGTCATATTAATATTAAAATGAACATGCCCCCTTATTTATTTAAGTGCATTTGTACACTAAATAAAAGTATTTGGATCAAATGAGCAGATAGTTTTAAATGGAATTATTTGCCATAAATGTTATTTTATTCTATTCAAATATATATACTTTCCCCAAACTATATGAAATATTTGCTGTAATCTATAATTTTTCTTAGAATTTACATTATATTATTTGTAAATATATATAATTTAATTCAAATCTTTTATAGTTTTGAAATGATATTATCTCGGACTTTAACTACAATATATCTTACAGTTCATCATAAACTGCAAACACATTTGTTTCACAATTACCAGTTCCTTAAAACATATATATTTTTAAAATTTAGTATAAATGTAGGAATTATCCAAGATAAATGTAGCATATTATAATCAAACTTATGTTTTCTTGAAAGAAAATTGTAGCAGGTCACAGAATGGCGTAGGTGGGAAGTAGCACGATAGATGGAGCCACTTACACTCTGTGATACACATCTCCTTGTGAGTAATGACACTAAAGCAGCTGGATCGTTCTAATGACATAACGATGGAGGACCATCAATAAGTCCCAAATCGACCAATGTTTGGTTGGTTAAACTTACTAACGATCCTAGCTGTTGTACTCGTGCGAGTTTTAAACAAAATATTTTTTATTACTGAGAAATATTTATATCCAAATATATTCTTATAAACAAAACTATTCAATTTTGTAGTAAACAAACGATACATTAATATGCAGGGTGAGTCAGTTTTTTGTAGTAGGATTTTAACAGTTGATAGAGAATCATTTTTTAATATCTCCCTATATCTCACAAACGAAGCGTTCTAAGACCTACGTTTATATGAACTTTTCTTATTAAAAAATGAATCTCTATCAACTGTTAAAATCCTACCACAAAAAACTGACTCACCCTGTACTATACAAAACATGCTTCTATAAAATCTATGTAGATCATAAAATTAAGAGTAAAAATGCTGCCTATTTTTAAAGTAAGAAATTATATTTCTGTGTAGAAAAGTATTTAAATAAATAAATAATTTTTTTGAAATATTTTCTTGTGTATACAGCGTGGTAAAAAAGTTCTGCATAAAATTCATATTTTCATTAAACAATTTTTTTTTCGAAAAACGGTGAGACCCGTCGATTTTTATTTGATCCAGGGCACATTGTTATATGGAAAATTTTTTTTTCGATAATCTACTTACGGCAGCGATGACATTTTTTTTTTAAATTACTACGCATATTTTTTTCGTTCGAAATTGATGACAATGGTAATTATCTAAACAACGGTGTGAAAAATTTCGATGTCTTACATAACAATTTTTTTTAGAAAAATGCACCTTAAGTTCTTAAATGCAATAATTTGCTGTTTACGGATCAAATGCCTTAGAAAAAAAATTATTCATCAGAAAGCATTTCAGATAAATAAAGTTGCAACTGGTGTTATGTAATATTTGCGGAATTATTCATCAGATATTGTCAGGATCCTGATTAAACTGCAAAATTTAGAACCAAGTTCAACCGCACAAAATCCAAATAGTATGTAGCAAATTAAGGTCGACTTTTTGTCTTCGAGTTTGCCGATAAATTCCTCAAAAAAAAAAAATCCAAAGAAATATTTACTTGAAAGGAGTAGATTACCTGAAATATTGAAGACTAAAAATCAGTACCGATTTAACATTCTTTGGTGAAATCGTTTAATTCGAAATGGCAAAACTTAGTGAACGCGAAAGAATTGATATTTTGAGGATGATTGGTTTCGGCGATAAGTTACGAACCCATCAAGAAGCTTGCCAATTATTTAATGCAACGTACCCTGACAGACCACCAATTACGCAATCTACGGTTAGTAGGGTACTGGCAAGGTTTGAGGAAACTGGTAGTGTGAAAGATGCTCCTCGTGCGGGTCGTCCTAGAGTAGATGATGAAACTAGATTGAATATCCTGGTGGAGCTCCAGGACAACCCTCATTCTAGTACAAGGTCGATTGCATTGAACAATGATATTTCACATGTAACTGTGGTGAACTTTCTCAAAAAAGAGAAATTTCACCCCTATAAGGGTCACTTGATACATGCATTGACTGAGGACGACCCAGACCGCCGTCTCCACTTTTGTGAAGATTTAATGCATCGATGTAACGGAGACCCCGACTTCCTCAAGAACATAATTTTTTCTGACGAGGCTACTTTTTATCTTAATGGATCGGTGCATCGACATAACTGCCGGTATTGGTCTCAGGAAAACCCGCACTGGGTGCAAGAAGTAGATCATCAGCACCCCCGAAAGGTGAACGTTTGGGCGGGAATAATAGGGCGTCGTATTTTAGGCCCGTATTTTTTCGAGGAAAATTTAACTGCTGCTCGCTATTTGGATTTCCTGCGGTTCGATTTGGTCCCAAGCTTAGCAGAGTTATTCCCGAACAACGAGGATCCTGATATTCCTGAGGAAAGAATTTGGTTTCAGCAGGATGGTGCACCGCCCCATTATGGAGTGCAAGTACGGGAGTACTTGAATAACACGTTTACTGGCCGGTGGATCGGG